CTGCTTGCAAATTCACAATATTATATGTAGATTGTAGGAAATTATAGAATGATGAGGAATCGGTTGAATTCTTGTGGGTCTCTTTGGCTCTTGTGATTTGGCGGGATTTGTAGATTGAGGATGGTTTGTTTGCCTGGAGTGGATTCACATCTTCTTGGTGCAGGGTGAAGCGCATGACGACCTGCTGGGCGGGCCATCCTACAAGCATGCCATGCCCCAAGTCCACAGTTTTCTGCAAAGGTGGAAGCTCTCACTGGTGCAAGTGAACCTGGCTCATGAGCCACAACAGTCTGAAGTTGTGCGTGTCCTCTGACAGCTAAGGACTGCACAGCTTGCTTGGCCTTGGGTGCAGGCTCAGCAGTGGCCGAGCTGGACTTGGTCGGGAGCCGCGACGAGGCCCAAATTTTGTGGTTGTTGTGGTGTAACAAAACACCATTCAGAGGTTTTTTTGAACATTGAGGTGGAGAAACCTCCTTTCTCATCGACGAAGCCTTTAGACTTTGGACTATAGAGTTCAAGACACTGAGGAAGGAATCAAACCTTACACAAATTTCACTGTCAAAGACGGACACGATGTCATCTCGAGAGAACAGTTCAAATTTCACAAGAGCTCATTGAAGCCTTCCAACAGGTCTATGCCGCTGTTGGCTTTGAAAACGCCTATATCACCCACTTCCGCCTGGGTATATTGCGTGCTGGAGATGTTGTGCCATCTTCGCCAGCCACGCTGCCAGCGTTAGAGATGAGAAGCGAACCTGCTTGTAGGCTGCAGATACAGTTTCTCCAGTACCGACAGGTTGGTGTTGAAAGTACAGGACATGTTTCACACCCGTGCGACTTTCTGCATGCCCAGGTTGAGGACCTACCACTCATTGGGGGAGGCTGCCACTCAGGTACGCCTTGAAGAAATTTGCCTTGTCATGCCTTGTCCAGTTTTGGCTCCGTGATTTTATTCTGAATTTTGGAAGAACCTGCACGAAGGGTTTTAATATTTGAGTATATAATAACGAATGAAACGCATGCAATACGATAATGAATTGAGATGCTTGCTTTTCTTAGCATGAACACAGAGGCGTTCAAATGGGGATTGAAAGGGTCAAATTTTCCAATGACACTGTTATTGAAGGGTCAATTTGTGCCTTTGAACTTCCAGAGTTGCCAGGCCCCGTGTCCAATCTAGACATTGCCGTGCAGCGACCGATTGTGGTCTCCGCCTGCAGTGCGGAACCGACAAATGCCGACTGAGATTAACTACGTTGGACAGGTTTTTCCGGACCGACGAGTCCGGGACGTTCAGTCAGACCATTCAGAGACCCGATCGAGCCGACCTAAGGCCAAGATGGGACCATTCGAGCCGGGGGCCTTGAGCAAGGCAGAACTTGGAGACCTGAAGCCCTCCAAACCAGAAGCAAAGAAAGAGATGACATAAGATGACCAAGGTTTGGGATTACCAAGCTGGCGAGTGCAGCCTTTGCTGCTTGGCACTTCTTGACAAGTTCACCTCACTAAGCGAAGACCAGTTATGCACGAAGACCAGTTAGGCGCTTTCTGCGAGCAGTGTGACTCAGGCTGGCAAGCCACAGAAGAACTGACCAGTGCGGACCTTGGAAGATCGAAGCCGGAGGAAACTGCCAGACTTAGCATGTCACGCTTGGGTAAATTTGGGCTTGGGTAAATCAACCCTAACCTAAGGCCCGAGGGCCATGGCCTTAGGTAGAAAGGAAGATAAAGGAAGTAGAGGAAAAGCTTTTGGGGTCTCTAAGTCATCCACACTCATATGTTCTGTTTGCCTCTCGGAACGGAACACATAGCGGGCTCTATGTTTCCTCCTTTTGACCGCTGTGCTGAGCTTGTGCCGGCAGTGACAGGGTTCGAAAAATATCTAATTATATAATCTTGGCGACAAAAATCACCAAAGTCCTTTTTTAAATACATCAACCTCACCAAACCGAACATGCGAGCGACTGTGCCTGAGAACATGCATTCTCAGGTCTGGCGTTGCATCCCTTCGGCTTCCTCCTTGCTGTGAGCTTTAGTGATAGGATCGACATGGTTTGCCGTCCAAATCCTCCAACGACACAGCCAGAAACCTGGTGCAGGATTCGCCTCATGGAAATCCTGGCCAAAGAGTACAACATGGCATGATCTTGAATGAGTCGACCGTCAGTCCTTTCAGCGGGCTTCAAAGACTGATCTACAAAACAGGAATTCAGATCGGTACTAACTTGAATCTGAAGACTTCCCCCTGGTTATGTGGCAGATTGCATTTGTGGTTTGATCTGCAGTCACTTTTCGGTGGCTTTGATCTTTGCCAGTCTGAAGCTCTTCTCCGAAATCAATATCAAGCCACTGCCTCAAGTGTCGGGTTTCACTCCAGCTGAAAGCTCCGCAGACTTTCTCAGAACATCCAGCTTTGCCGGCGTTGCTTCTGCATCTTTCATGTCATGGATTTTGTGCAGGAACGTTCACCTGCTCCGCTTCTCAAACGGTGGCCACGTTTTGGCAGCTGCACAGGTAGGATGGACTTCCCTGTATTCTGTCGTAGATGCGTTTGTGGCTCCGAGTCTAGAATCTAGCACATTGATGAAGCAAGAGCTTGATTGCCTTGATTGTGTGTCATGTTTGCAAGACGTTGTTGGGTGGGACTCAAACAAGAGCCACACTGTGAGCAAACGCTAGCTGAGTTGTGCCCTTTTCCGCAGCGGTTTTGGGTCAAATTAGATTGGGTAGCCTCATGGCAGAGGCTGCCCTAGAGGCTGTTCCATCCAAAGCTTCATCACTAGCAGTTCCATCCAAGGCGGTACCAGAGGCTTTGTCAAAGGCTTCAGTGCCTGTTCCTGAGGCTTTGTCAAAGGCTTCCTTGCCTGTTCCTGAGGCTCTGTCCAAGGCAGCCCCGAGTGTGCCGGAGAGCGCCCCTGCTCTGAGCAAGGCACCTCCAGAGGTTCCATCAAAGGCGGCGGCACTGGTAACCTCAGCTCCCTCGAAGTCTGCAGCGCCAGCACCGCCGCCGCTGGCTGCACCACCAGTGCCGCTAGCACCGCTAGCACCGGAGCCAGACTCTGGAAAGCCTAAGAGTTTGGTGCTGGGTGACGAGACCTTCCTCTTTGCTGCAGGACTACAAGAAGCTTATCCAGATGTCGATTTCACAGCATGTTCGGCCCTATCCACACAAAACATTACTCGGGAGGCGAATCCGTTCCCGCCGGTGATGAAAGGCAGAGTTCGGCACATGGTGAATCCTGTGACGGTCGGCAAGAGCTTCCCAGCCGGTAGCTTTGACGAGTTGGTCTTTTTCTTACCTGGCTTGAGCTTCTCAGTGCCCAAAGAGCTTGGTACTTCTGACCGTCCTTTGTATGCTTATCGAGTCCACCACTTTATTTTCCATTTGCTACATTCATCCAAGTTCCTCCTAAAGGGGGACAGCAGTCTCCACGTCGTGTGGCCAGAGGAAACTTGCCTCATGAGCTCACCCTGCGGAGCTGCTGGCATTGAGCTTGTGCAACTGCTAAATTTGCTTGGTTGCAAGCATCAATCGACTGCAAAATATGGCATGGACACCATCAAGGCGGAATGCATCAGGCCCATTGTGTTTGGAGGCTTTTGCACAGAATTGCCTGAGTGGTTGCAGACTCTGCAGATACTCCATTTCGAGATTGACACCAAGCCAATTCCGCTTCCGCTCTCGGTGGCACTTCAACTGAACCCCAACTTAGAGCTAGTGTCCATCAAAGGCGCGTCGGTCGTTGCGGGCGTGGACGCGCCCGCGGAAACAGCTCCACTGAGAGCCAAGTTGATCCACGAGGCGATCGCTCGGAAAGCTCGTCTTAAGGAAATGTATGGCCCACGGGAGGGTCAGCAAGTGTCAAACTTTGATTTGGTGAAGGAGGCCTTAGCTCCGGACCCAGATGCCTTGCTCTCAATCCCCATGGAAGCTTTCATGATGACCCTGGAAGAGATGCCGCACTTCTCTGTGTGCCTGAAGTTCCAGGTCTTGGAGGATTTGAGTGCCAGATCCATGTGGCTTTATCGTACTATTTTGCTTTTCATGCAAATGTTTCTTTAGTATGTACAAGGACGCTACTAGGGGCTCCTGGCATCGCTACTAGGAGCAAGGACGCTACTAGGGGCTCCTGGCCTTACTACTAGGAGCAAGGACGCTACTAGGGGGACAAGCTCATGCAACTTTACAAGCACACCCTGAGAGGATCAGCCGAGTATCTCTCATGCCCAAGTGGATGTCCTAGATCCACGGCTCCCAACGCGGGTGGCGAGACCGGCACCCCCCCAAGCACCAGCACCCCCCCCTCCAGCGCTACCGAAGAAGCGCTCCAGGCCCAAAGAGGAGGAGTGGGGGGAGATGAAATTCTACTGTCCCTTGACAAAAATTTGCACAGCTACGCCCGAGAAGATGCGTGAGCATATGGAAGGAGAGTTGTACAAGAGGTTTGTGGGCAAGGATAGCACTTGGGACTCCTCTGAAGAGAAGAGAGACTTGCTCTTTGATCTGGAGGAGGCAGAAGAAGCTAAGAGGCCCAAGAAGACTGAGAAAGGAGATAGGGACAGAAAAGGTGGGGACAGGAAGGGTGGGGACAGAAAGGGTGGCGGCAAGGGGAGAGATGGCAAAGGAAAAAGAGATGGGAAGGATAGCAAGGGTGGCAAGTCAGATCGAAAGGGGTCAGATCGAAAGGGTGGAGGAAAGTCGGGCGGCAAGAAAGGTGGCAAAGACCGTGGCAAGAATCGCTACTGAAATAGGCTTTCGCTGCCAAATCCGTCCAATATCTAATTTATGGACAACGCGAAAAAAAGAGGCAAAAAGTCTGAAGGTGTGCGAATTTTTGTTCACATTTGTTTGCTGAAAGCATCAACTGGTTGAAGTCCTTTCGAATTTGATGTACATCGAAGTTCCAGAACGCCGCTTAGCATGATACTTAGATACTGTTGGATGGGACTGATGGCAGATTCAGGCAAAGGTGATCATTATCTTCAGCACACGCACCCTCAAGAAGGTGGCCACCTTGCGAGGACATTCCAGAGAGGCCATGAAACATGAAGAGAAGAAGGAAGAAGACGATGCATGCACAAAGCTTTGCGTCTTCTCTTGTGCCTCATCAGGTGGCTTGCGTCTTCTTTGACCCCTTAGACAAAACGATGGTCTCAGTTGGTCGATTTCTCAGCACCGAGCGCGGGCCGAGCTTCGATTTCACCCGGTCGCACGCGGTGGATGCGTCAGGAGAGGATGGCAAGGTCTGTGAGTGGAGCACCGAGAACTGGAGTTCGGCCACTGGCTTAGGGGCAGTGGGTCCGGGCCAAGGTTTTCTTCACATTAGGCATGAATCGTTCCAATTGGATGTGGGTTGAAATCAGACAAGACTAAACCGTGGAGGTTCACCTCCCCGGTAGTCCCTGTTGTTCACTTGAGAGAGTCTAAAACCCTCCCCAACTCACAAATTTTGTCTTCGCGTGTCCGTTTTGCCAGAAGGATGCTCCATTCGCCGCAAAACGATAAGAAAGAACCATCAACGATAACCCTGCACATGGACAACCCTTGATATGTGTTTCTCAGGTTTGTCTCCCCTAAAAGACAACAAGGGGTGTTGTGTTGCGTTTTGTTTGTGCTACCAGGCACCAAAACGATCACAACGATGACCAAAACAGCATATCATGCAGCCAGCTGAAAAAACACCTTCCTGTGTATACGCAACTGATCACAACTGGCCCATACATTGGACATGTACTTGCTCGGCACAGAGAGGAATGTACCATGGCGTCATGTTTGTCAGTTCAGCTAGCTAGTCAAAGCACCGTTAAAACGATAAGGCAAAAAAAACAACGAGGCCAAACACCAAACGAATTCTTTTCAGAACTCAAGATTTGCTGAGATCAACGAGTACGGCGTGCATGGTGAAGCCTTGGCCATCGCAACTGCTGGTGAGGGTCGTGTATGGGCTGGCGTTGCCGAGACCTAAGGAGACCAGATATGTCGGAGCCGTGTTGTTGAAGCCATGCTCTTTGGCTCACATTTGAACCCTACAAGCTCCAACGTTCGCTTCTGAATAGAACTTTTCCAAGGCACGTTCGCGCCCAGACTGGTTTCGTTGGTCGGATGACCAAGGCAGAGTCCGAACACGCAACATTTCGCTCCTTCCGAAATGGTGTCTACCATCAGAACGAGGACATGGAGCCGCACGTTGGTCCCGTGACGAAGTGAAAGGGCGGCAGATTCGGAGTCGGTTCCGAAAGAAAGAAGAATCCATACAGATCCATACAGATCCACAGATGGAGCTCTTCGCTTCAAAAAATGGCCGAAAAGACAGTGGGTGATGTTGTCTTCCACTCCCACGTGCACAGGACATCGTCTTCCACTCCTCGGAACACATCAGCTCGATGGACCTGTTCAGCCGACCGTCGGAGGCGCATGGAAAAACAGTGTAAAAGGGGGGTTCTGGGGAGGATTTGTTGGTGTGTTGCTTGTTATGATTTTTTGTTGATGTTCAATGTGTTTTCCTTGCTGTTGATGTTTTATGTGTGGGGGGTTCTGGGGAAGTTTTGGTGCTAAAAATCACTCTGTTTCTAGTTATTCAATGAGGTGGCTGATTGTTTAGGCTTGTTGCGCTTTTGTTCAATGTTGTAATTCTAAATGTGATGTTTTTGTTTTATCGCTAAATGTTTTGAGGTTGTTGGGATAATGTTTGGTTCAGATGAGAGGGATGTGTTGACAGGGTTTTATGTTTCGGGACGCCACGCTTGCTTCATCCACTTCAATGACTTCTTCATTTGGGTGTCCGGTTGCCCAGATTTTCAGATGAAGTGGCATACTCCGCATTCTAAACAAGCCTATGCCTTGGACATCGCTGGGAATTGGACTTTTTGATACTTTCAGCCTGTTCTGTTCAAGTTGTCATGGATCAGCTTCAAACTTGCCCCACGGCAAATTATGTGGTGCAGTATTTTCAATCAAAAAGGTCCAGCAACATAGCAAAGTGGACGGTCATGCACTATGTCCGCCTCCTTTAGTTGGGCGCAGCAGAGCATCCTTCTTTGGAGACAGAAGTGCTCCTATTTTTGGTCAGAAAGCCTTGCCGTTTGATGTGCCGCGTGCCAAGCAGGTTCTGGACAGGAGTTCCATCATTCTGCAGTTGGTGAAAGCTGTTGGGGGTCTCCTAGGTCTGCTTACAGTTCCTGAAGTCACAAAAAGGCTTTTATATCCTGCTGCGGCACCTGTTGGGAACTTGCACCGGCGCCTAAAACATGCAGGCAGAAAGCTTCATAGCCCCGTCATCAAGTTCACAATAAAACCATACCAGGAACTCACAGAGAATCGTGCCTTGATCCTTCAAGGCAGAAATCAGGAAGGTAAAACTACCTTGCTTCGCGAAACAATCCCACGGCATAGGCGCGTGGGACCGTTGGCTCTTGAGGGCCTCTATCTCAACGGTGCACAGGGCAACAGCGTGGATAGCTTCAATAAGTGGCTGACCACGCAAATGTTCGGCGTGACCAGAACTGGAGGCTCCGAGATGGCTTACAATCTGCAAGCTTACAAAAGCAAGCAGTGGTTTCTTGGTTTTCTGGAGAGTTTGGGACTGTCCATTGCCCCCAAGCCCGCCATTGTGCTGGTGGATCAGTTTGAAGAGCTCCTGAAGCGCTTCCCACTGCAAGCCCTGAACTGGGCAAACACACTGACCAACCAGCACACCCGAGACAGCCTTGCCAGGGTGATCTTCGTTTGCAACTCGGACGCTGGCTCTCAGACCTTGCTCATTTTGAGCCAAGGCACTCGCTTTGACAGGGTCATCATGGAGCAGGTGTCTGGGCAAGGTGTGATAGGCTTGGACAAGGAGTTGTTCCAGAAGTGTAGTTGCAACATTGGCATGTACAAGCTCGTGGAGGACAAGATGGCAAGGCAGGAACTTACCGAAGAGCAGGTGGAGGACTTTGTCAGGGCAACCTTGCATCGGTGGGACTGCCCCGTGAAGTATGACAGGTCAATGGCAGAGCTGGACGTAGAGCTAATGAAAGAGAGGATGGAAGAGCCCCTTGAGCAAAGGATGGCCAGAAGGTCTTCACCGAAGAGGAGATCAAGCTTCGGATGGGCTTTGCCGAAAGGATATCGAAGGATCTCAGCCGGCAACAGATCTTGGACGCCCCCGAGGAGCTGTGGGTGGAGCTGCTGGAGGGAGCAGGGGCTGCACCTGCAGTCGCATTAGCTTTAGCCAGCCACATAAAGCGCATGATTTGCTCACCTGTTCCGAAAAGGTGAGGATGCTTTGTTGTTTCACTTCCATTCCGTTTCACCATGCGGGTATTTGTATAGTTGGAGAGACCCCAAATTGCCCCGCTTTGCTGCTTTGCAGATGTTCGGCTTTGTCATGTCAGCCTTGCTTTCTTGACTGTGCCATATCCTTTTTGGGGCGCGCGTCATCCCAGTTTCGCAGACTATACTATACCCCTTAACAATCACCAGAATTTATGCATCCACTTTGCCTTGTTTCCGAGCACTTACTCCAATTGAGAGCAGGTATCAATCATACCCATAACCAAGTATCAATGATAGCCTGATAACAGTATCCAAGTATCAATGATACCCCAAGCAGAGTATCAACGATACCCTGATACCAGTATCCAAGTATCAATGATACCCCAAACAGAGTATCAATGATACCAGTATCCAAGTATCAACGATACCCGTAACCAAGTATCAATGATAGCTTGATACCAGTATCCAAGTATCAATGATACCCCAAACGGAATATTAACGATACCCCTGATGCACTATCCAAGTATCAATGATACCCCGATACTATCCAAGTATCACCGATATCCAGAACCAAGTATCAATGATACCCCAAACAGAGTATCAGTGCACAAGATGTTGGGGTTTGCATTGCACGACCCATTGACACGGCGCAGAAGCCCTTGGCGTCATTAATTTGACACCATTTGGACTATATCCGTGTCGTTTCCTCAAGCCTTTGCTTGAAAGGCTATTGTTCCGATGGCATTTAGCACTCTATAAGTCCATCCAACCGACAGTAAAGACGCTTGAATTCATCGTCCCCAGTGATAAAAAGCCTCCTAACTGGACACTGCTTTTGTATGCTTTGTCTTGATGCGTCATCGTCGGCAGATAGTTTGGGGAGTGTCCCATTTCTTCTTCACCACTTCAGTTTGCTCTGCCCACACTGAGGTTAAGAAGACATCGGGAACATCAACAACTTGAAGGGGTGTCCGTCCTTCTTTCAACCAGAGTTTGGATGGAGTAGTTGGCTTCAAAGCCTCCAGAGTTTGACAATCTGCTTTCGTTTCAACCAGAACTTGGACGGAGTGGCTTTACCAAACATTTCCTTCAAACAAACTCACTGGTAAAGATTTCACGAAAGGAGTTGTTTTGGAGACCTCTTTATGTCTCATAGCTACGTACTTCACGGAGATGATACACAGATAAATATATTGCAATGAGCTATGTAACTAGTTATTTTTTATAGACATATCCCGCATATCCCTTGCTCAACCTGTCCGTTCAGAAGAGTCGTCTTCTTTCCCATCGCGAAGTGGGGTTGGTGTGTTCGGGAGCGGTGGTGTCGTTCGCGCGTTTCCTGATTAAAATTTTTGATGGAGAGAAGGAAGAAGAAGGAGAAGGGGGCTGACCGGATGGGGGAGCGATAGTGGCGTTGACGCGAAAGCATACCCCAGCGGTCAGTTCCCCAAGAGTCCTGCTGACTTTTTGAATTTGGAATTTGGGTTTGGTGCATAAATATATATATAACCATCCTGGAGTAGATAGAATGGACGAATTTTCAAAAAATAATTCACTCCTCAAAACCGGCCCTTCCAAACCCCATAGATAGAATATGGTTGTAGGGGCTTCTCTTCCTTTTCCTTTGTTGTCCTTTTCCTTCTCTGTTCGTTCTATTTTCTGTTCGTTCTAAAGAAAAGAACAAAGGAAAGGACAGCCTAGATAATACACGTAGGAACAGAACAGAAAAATAACAAAGAAGCAAATACCGGAATGGGAGGAGTTGCTAAGAATCTTTTCACTCTATTGTATCTATAGGGTCAGTCTTCATAAAATGAAAGGGATGTCAAAATTCTAAGTTTTTTCAAAGAGAAAAACACCCCCTACGAAAGTACATTCTATCTACTCCAGGATGATTATATATATATATAAGTAGGTCATAGCAGAAAGGGTGGTTGGTGATGATGAGGAGCGAAGAGTTCCTGAAGTAAGCGCACTGTCATTCACCGCCATCCTTTCTGTCGTAGGATAAGTCCGTATATGGACATAGATATGAATAACCTCTTGGGGCCGTTAAAAATAGTTTACATCACTCCCATCCGTTCACCGGCTAAACTAGTTTGCTCAAGGTTGGCAGGAACAGGGGTTTTGAGTGAAGATTTCGTGGACCACCCCATCACTACATCTCACTCCACGCACGGATGCGCCACCCAACAACACGCAGCCCGACCCAAAACGCGCCAAGAAAAGTCGCCTATATAATAGAATCAAGATAGTGATGCCTTGCTATTTAGTGATAGATGGAGTTAAGAAAGAGATGGAGGAAGACATCTTTGACCAAATGGTTGAAGCACTATACCAACCCAACACACCAAACAACACCCCACAAAACAGTCAAAGCAGATGGGACGTGGTAGAACCACTCCCAACGACCCTAAAGGGGCGTTGGAAACCCGATGGAACTTATGACAAGAAGCCATTAGATGAAGACTACTTCAAAAAATACTACCATAAGAACCTGAAAGTTCCGTTCAAGCGTCCGGACTGCGGACGCACCATCTCATCAAAATCCAATCTGTCAAAACACCGCCAAACCAGCGTGTGTATGAGGAAAAGAAATTCGTGTTGAAAAAGAGAACCTTCTCAACAACATCACCTCTTGTTGAGAACGTTTGCCCGTTGAGGTTCAACCCAAAAGCCCAAGACCGGAACCCCAAACCCCAGCCCAAAACTACTTAAAGATAAAATGACTATATAATATAGGGTATAGTATTATGGTTGAACGTTCAGAGCAGATTGTTTTAGATTATCAATTGACATCCGAAAAGGGGGAAATCCTCAAAGAGAATGGAAAGCAAGTCAAGAAACTCAAGATAGGTGAGAAGACCTACAACTACGACAAGACAAAACCACTCACCGACAGATTGAAACGAAAACTCAACACTGTTAAACGCACGATGGGACGCAAAAAATACGAACTGGAAACCAAAAGAGGCATCAGATGGACGAGGATTGACAAAAACAAAGCACTCATCAGCATTCAAAAAATATGTAAAGCAGACATCACCGACGAACAATCTGCTTTCAAAAACTATGTCAACTCCTTTTCCATCAGCAACATCAAAGTCAAAGGCATTGAGGCACTACAGTATCTGAAATACCAAGAACAGAGACT